CCTGAGAAAATGAGGGAGAGAGAGAGAGAGAGGCGAGGTGTGGGGGGAGGTGGATGGAGAGAGAGAGAGAGAGAGAGGGAGAGAGAGAGAGAGAGAGAGCGGGAGAGAGGGAGAGAGAGAGAGACAGACAGACTGACTGACAAACAGACTGACAGACAGACAGGCAGAGAAGGAGGGGGGAGAGAGAGAGAGAGGGATAAAGAGCGAGACAGAGAGGAGGGGACCAGAGAGACGTGGGCAATGGGAGGCCTCGGTCACCGCCGCAAGCCTCACGTCATGAGTCGCGCGCAACGCTTGGGGGCCTCTTAGAAATTCCTGCGCCCCCCGTGTGGCCCCCTTGAAAGCATTTTGGGATGTTATCAGGTATCCTGGGAGCCTCTGGGGATGTTTTGAGACTCTCTTGGGAACCTCGTGGATGCTGCGGGCGGGCGTAGCCCCCAAAGAAGAACCGACCAACATCCTCGAACAACTAACAGGAACCCTCGGTTGTGTGCCTCCTCCGGACTTGCTGGGAGTCCTCTTGGGGTCTTCTTAGAGCGTCTTGGAGGCGTCAGGGGCCATGTATGCACTGGGCCCGATGCTGAAAAGGTCGGCTGGGCTTTCGCGAACCCATGGAATTTAATGGTTTGGGAGCCTCTGGGTGGCCGCTTGGGCGGTCACGGCGGGCCTCTCGGGGGCCTCGTGGGGCCTCTTTGGGCCCTCTTCAGGGCCTCCGGGAGGTCTCTAAGGGCCGCTTGGGGGCCCCTGGGGGCGGAGGGGCCGAAAGGTCGGATCGGATCCCCCGTCTGAATCTCTTCTTGGAGCCTTCTTGGGGGCCTCTTGGTCTATCTTGGAGACCTCTTGGGCCGCATCGGGGCCCTCTTAGGCCGTCTTGGGGCCGTCTTGGGGGCCTCTTGGGCCGTCTTGGGGCGATCTTGAAGGCCCTTTGGCCGTCTTGGAACGTCGGGGAGGCGAAAAAGCGAGAACCCGAAAAACCTTCAAAAACCATTGAACAAATAATGGATTTTGCCTCTTGGGGCCCTCACGGGAAACCTCTTGGAGGCCTCTTGGGGTGTCCTGGAAACCTCTTGGGCCGTCTTGGGACGAACTGGGGCATCTTGGAGCGATGGGGGCGTCTCGGCGCCCGTTTTGGCGCCCTTTTGGCCTGTCGTGGGACCTCCTCGGGCGGCAAAAAAAGCCAGCATGGCCTCTGCATAAGGGGGGAGGGGGGGGCGAAAAAGCCGCGAACATGGCCCCCAGAGGTGGTTCCCGGGCGGAGAAAAATAAATCCCCTCCGGACCCCCCCCCATCCTAGGGGGGGTTCTCCTTTTATATCTTGTATTGGATGAGGAATATATATATATATATATATATATATAGAGAGAGAGAGAGAGAGAGAGAGAGAGAGAGATGTGTGTGTGTGTGCTTCTTCTGGGGCACGAGCCCTTCTTGCTTTACGCATGTGCATATAGATCCGCCCTCTTCTGGAGCACGAATCCTTCGTGTCTTACGCGTGTGCATATTGATTGCCCTTCCCCTGGGGCACAAATCTTTTGATGTCTAACGTATGTGCCGATACATCGGCTTTCTCTTGGAACACGAACCCTTTTAGTGTTTTACGTCTGTGCCTATAGATTGGCCCTCTCCTAGGGCGCGAATCCTTCGTGCTTCACATGCGTGCTGCTAAAGTGGTCGTATCATGGGGGACGAATCCTTAGCGTGATTGGCCCTCTCCTGGGGCACGACCCCTTTCCAGGGGCACGAATTTTTGAAGTTTTACGTGGCATTTTATAGATTTGCCCTCCCCTGAGGCACGAACCCTGCGAAGCGTCACGAGCTTCACCGGGCGTCACAAGAATAGGTTTCAAGCCGAATGGAGGCTTCACGAGTTTCACCGGGCGTCGGGAGAATAGACGCTTCAGGCGGGATAAAGGCTTCACGAGCTTCACCGGGAACCAAGGGAATAGAGGCTTCAGGCCGAATAGAGGCTTCACGAGCTTCAACGGGCGTCAAGGGAATAGAGGCTCCAGACCGAGCAGAGGCGTCACGAGCTTCACCGGGCGTCGGGGGAATAGAAGCTTCAGGCCGATAACAAGCTTCACGAGCTTCACCGGGCGTCAACGGAATAGAAGCTTCAGGCCGAATAGAGGCTTCACGAGCTTCACAGGGCGTCAGGGGATTAGAGGCTTCAGACCGAATAGAGGCTTCACGAGCTTCAAGGGCGCCAGGGCAACAAAGGCTTCAGGCCGAATAGAGGCTTCACGAGCTTCACCGGGCGTCAACGGAATAGAAGCTTCAGGCCGAATAGAGGCTTCAAGAGCTTCACAGGGCGCCAAGGGAATAGATGCTTCAGGCCGAATAGAGGCGTCACGAGCTTCACCGGGCGCCAGGGGAAGAGAGGCTTCAGACCGAATAGAGGCTCCACGAGCGTCACCGGGCGTCAGGGGAATAGAGGCTTCAGGCCGTATACGCCAGGGGAATATAAGCTTCAGACCGAATAGAGGCTTCGCGAGCGTCAATGGGCGTCAGGGGAATAAAAGGTTCAGGCCGAGTAGGCCCGTCTAGGGTCGCTACCCCGCCAGTGCGTCGCAATTCGTAGGCCGAATAAAGGCGTCACGAGCCAAATAGAGGCTTCAAGCCGAGGCTCCAGGCCGAATAGAGGCTTCACGAACTTCAATGGGCGTCAACGGAATAGAGGCTTCAGGCCGAATGGAGGCGTCACGAGCTTCAACCGGCGTCGGCGGAATAGAAGCGCCACCGCAGCTCCTTGGGGGAATAGCGTCTTCAAATAGCGTCGTCGCCGCCGGCTCGAACTGGGACCCCCCCTCCCAGGCCCCTTGTGTGTAAATATGTATATATATACATATAAATTATATATACATACGTATACGCAACAACCTTAGTTATCTTACACATGGTATGTGTGTATGCATGTCTGCGTGTATGTATGTATGTATGTATATATGTATGTATGTATGTCTGAATGTGTGTATAGCTGTGTGTTTGTATGTATGTATGTCTGTATGTATGTATGTAGGTATGTATATGCTTATGTCTAGTTCTACGTGGTGCACGCTTCGTGGTGCAATATAGTTGACAGTCCGCGTGGCGCAGTCTACGCGGTGCTTCTTCGGCGCAGGGCAGCGGGGCTCGCGGAAGGGAGGAGGGAGGAAGGGGGCGGAATGGGAAGGGAGGGAAGGGCGGGAGGGAGGGGAGGGGGGGAGGGGAGGGAAAGAAGGAGGGAGGTGGAACGGGAGGGGAGGAAGGGAGGAAGGGGAGAGAGAAACGGGGAGTGGAGGAGGGAGGGAGGGGGAGTGGGGGAGGAAGAGGAGGGAAGGGACGGAGGGAGGGAGGAGGATGATCCCGGATGCTGGATGTGCTTCCAGCATCGACGTTCACCGCGAGATGCAACGACTCATGCCGCTCACACTTGCACCGAGCTGGCCTGAGCCCGCCGACCCCTTGTGGGTCTCTTGGCGTATCAGAATCTTCCCCTCCATAACCCCCCGCTGGGTTTGGCCTATAAGGGGGGATCTCTTGGGGGCCTCCTGGAGCCTCTTAGGGGCCTACAGGGGCCTCCTGGGACCTCCTTGGGCGGAAGGGTAGGATGTTCGGTTCGGGCTCCCTCTCTTGGGCTCCTCTTGGAACCGTCTTGGAGCTCTCCTAAATCGTATTGGGGACCTCTTGGGGTGTCTTGGCCCCCTCTCGGGACGTCATTGGAGCCTCTCGGGCCGTTGTGGGACTCTCTTGGGGGCCTCTTGTACCGTCGTCACCGCTGTGAAGACCGACAAATCGTAGATGCTAAGACTTTGCGTTTTCCTATGCAGAATCAATGATTCTGGCCTCTTGGGACCCTCTTGGGAAGCCTCTTGGGAGCCTCTTGGGGCGTCTTCGCGGTCTCTTGGGCACTGTGAGAACCGTCTTGGGCGTCCAAGGGCTAGCTTTGAGCGCTCCGGGGCCGCCCTCTGGCCACGCCTTGGCCGCCCCTCGGGCTGTCTTGGGCCGTGTTGGGAGCCTTTTGGGCCGTCTTGAGGCCGTCGTGGGGGCCTCTTGTACCCTCGTGCACGTCGTGAAGACCCAACAGACGTAGATGCTAGAAATGCACGTCTTCCTGCGCAAAATAAATGATTTTGGCCGCTTGGGGTTCCCTTGGAAAGTTTCTTGGGACGTCGTAGCGGCCTCTGGGGCTCTGTGGGAGCCATCTTGGGACTCTAGGGGCGATCTTTGAGAGCCCTGGGGCCGTCTTGGACCGATTTGGGAGCCTCTTGGGGCTCCGTGGACACGTCTTGGCCGCCTCTTGAGCACGCCTTGGCCGCCTCTGGGGCTGTCTTGGGCTCCTATTGGGCCGTGTTGGGAGCCTCTTGGGCCGTCTTGAGGCCGTCGTGGGGGCCTCTTGTACCCTCGTGCACGCCGTGAAGACCGAAAAGACGTAGATGCTAGAAATGCACGTCTTCCTGCGCAACATCAATGATTTTGGCCGCTTGGGGCTCTCTTGGAAAGCAACTTGGGGCGTTGCAGCGGTTTCCTGGGCCCAATGGGAGCCATCCTGAGCGTCCAGGGGCGATCGTTGAGCGGCCCGGGGCCGTCTTGGACCGGTTTGGGGGCCACTTGCGCCTCCTTGGGCACGTCTGGGGCGCCTCTTGGCCCGGACAGGAGCGCTCCCGGAGCCCCAGAACGGCCATGGGGGACACAGGGACCGGCCTGGCGGCCCCGATCCCCTTCCGCTGGCACACACACACACACACATCTCTCTCTCTCTCTCTCTCTCTCTATATATATATGGATGTATGCATGCATGCATGCATGCATGTATGTATGTATGTATGTATGTATGTATGTGTGTATATGTATGTATATATATGTATATCTATATATACATACACATATATGTATATATATATATATATGCAAACAAATATGTACATGCGAGCCCCTTGTAAGGTGCAAGGCGGGGTGGAAAATCAAGGGTTCATTTGCGCACACGATGTACAAGTCCCCCCCCATCAAGTCCGCAAACGCGCCTTGGCACCGTCGCCCACTGCGGCGCCCGCGTCGTAGAGAAGGTCTCCAGCCTCGCAATGCGCGCCCGTCCTCCTCGTCTCATCCGGGTCGTCATTTTCGTCGTCGTCGTCGTCGCCGTCGGCACGAGAGGAGGAAAAGGAGGAGGAGCAGGACGAGGAGGAGGAGGAGCAGGACGAGGAGGAGAGGGAGCGCCAGTTCCCATCGGACGAAGAGGAGCACGAGGGAGGACAGAAGAGGCACAGACACATTTTTCTTTTCCGGCAAACAATGTTTGGTGCACCCTTTTCATAAAAGAGGCACAGGTACATGCAAATGCGGTCGGACGGCCTGCTTTGGGGCCTTGCTGGCAAGTGGCGACCCTCCGATACCCTGGTCCTGCTGCAGGCCACGCCCGTCTTCATTCCACCCTCCTCAATACCAGCGCCTCCTCAAACATGCCATCGCCCTCCCCCCCTCCTCCAGAATAACAACTGATCGCCGTCATCGTCTTACCCCTCCTCGCCTCTCACGACTTCTGTGGCTGAACCAAGGTGATCATACGGCTGAGCATAGGGCCAAGCCAACGCACAATTTCCCCGAGATCCCCGCCTCCTCCTCCTCCTCCTCCTCCTCCTCCTCCTCCTCCCTATCATCGTCATCATCAACAACACCAACGTCGTCATCATCATCATCAGCATCATCATCATATTTCTCTCTCTCTCTCTCTGTCTCTCTCTCTCTCTCTCTTTCCCCTCTCTGTCTCTATCTTCCTTTTTTTTTTTCTCTCTCTCTCTCTCTCTCTCTCTCTCTCTCGGCTTCTGAATTATCCCAGCGCGCGCCTCCCCCCCCCGCGGGCCAGCCGGCCCTGGGGGGGGTGATCCAACCAGTGGGCCTGGCGAGTGTAGTTGCCGGCTGGTCTGAAGAATATATATATATATGGATATATATACATATATATAGAGAAAGGGAGAGACAGCATACGTAGGAAGAGGGGGGAAAGGGACGGAGATGATAAGGATGGGGGGGAGGCGAGTGAGGTTTGGTTGCAGTGCGGCAGTAGGCCACACTTGCCGAAAAGTGGCCATGGATGCAGTCCTTGCAAGCATTTACCTATATTGTTTACTAGAATCAGGTGGCGCATTTTTGCGAAGCGACGCTAATGCGCGAAAGTGCACTAATTCGAGCGGGTTCTTCTTGCGCGCGGCACGCGCACAAGTCTCCGCCGCCACGGCTTTGCGTCGCTCAAGCGGAATTGTTGTAGTTTCTTTTCTCTTCGAACATACCCTCTGGGCGTAACCTGGTGAGCACGCGAGTAGGCGCGGCTGCGTGCCGAGTACATCCACGGCCACGCGCTGGCGCGAGAAGATGCGGCAAGTTTGGCTCCCCAATGGGGCGTCCTCTGACAGGACCTGACAGCGCGGCAGTCAACCGCGCGCTGCGGAAAATGGTGAGATACGTGACCCATGCCAAATGTCGATCACTGAAGCAGTGGGCGGCGGCCCGGATCTACAGCCACGCTAAATGGTTCGGGTGCTCTGCCTCGGCGCCGATAAGCTTGTTCACGCGCGCGGGGTAGCTGGAGCAGAAGTCGTGCAACTCGAAGTTGCAGTTGTTGTACGCTTTGCGCTCCTTGAACCGCGCGGCCAGGTCCATCTCCATGGCATGGAGGCCCTTGCCCTTGGCGAGGGGGTGCTCCTTGAGGCAGTGTCGCGTCTACGTGACGGCTGTTTCATGGGGGAATACGTTGGGCATGTCGGGCGGCTGCTTGCTCGCGTCGGCGCCCGCGTGCGTGGAGACGGTGGTATTTACGGGCGTTGAAGCAGTCGCCGACGACGTGGCCCGTGGACGCGCGGTAGAGGACGGGCCCGCGGTCTGAAAGAAAGACGCGGTGCAACGGCACTCCGTCCTTAAATTGGTCTGGAAAATGCGCTCCAAGCGGGCGACCATCTGCGAGACGCCAGCCCCTGTTTGCTTCCAGGCGCTGCCCATGGTCTCGTATTGCACCGTCCCCCTGAAGGGCAAGATGAAACACCAGATTTTCTGGTCCCCGAACTGCGTCTGCTCCGTGGCGTAAGGCGAAGCCATCAAATTCTGGGACGTGGCCTACTTCCCGTGGGACGCCTGCTTCTCGTCGAAGGTGCTACTCGATTCCTTTGTTTAAACGTGGGCGGTGTAATTTTCACAGCGCGCACTTTTGGGCACCAGTATAATTTTCGCCGTCGTTGGGCCCCGAAGAATATTTACCGCCGGCCCTCGCGAGATGGCGGCTTCGTTTCGCTGGCGCTCATGAGTACATATCGCTCGCAAGATTGACGGTTATTGGGACATGCATCATACACACGTTCGTCAATTATGCAGCAACCGCGCTCGCGCATTGCACGTATCCCGCGTTTGTTCGCATTCGCCTGCCTGGAGAACTACCACACACTTCCATCCTCATGATCGCGTGATCGTCTTCACTATCCACATCGCCATCACCATCAGCATTTGCATATTCATTCGATTCACCATTAACTTATCACTGGCGGTCCTGAGATGGTGCATGATTTTCGCTGGCGTTTGAGCGACGCGTTTTTCGCCGGCGTGAAGATTAGGCCCTGGGATAAGTGTCGCCGGCGTGGACCCCGCCACGACGTTTGCCCCCCCACGTTTGATAAGGGATCTAGAATATGCGGCCTGTCCGAGATGATCGTGTGGCACGGGTCCACGTAGATCACGTTCCTGTGGCACCGCTCCGCGGGTCACCCCAAACGCATCTCCGCGCGTCCAAATTTCAGACGCCACCCCTTCATCTCGGGTGACAGAACTGTCTTGCCGTTGGGGCGCAAGTGGCCCCATGGCTTCTCGGGCGCATCGTCCACGCACTTCGATTTCAAAATAAGGTAAATTTACTTGCCGATGGCAAGATGGCCAGTGCCTGGGGCTGAACGTCGCGTCGGGGCAGCGGCGTCTCAAGTCGGGTGCTGTCGGCTCCTCGCCGCGCGGCTGGGGCCCTCTAGGCCCCGTGGGGGGCGCTCTGAGGCCATTTGGGTTTCCTGGGGAATCCTGGGGACATCTTGGGCCAGGGAAACCTTCTTGACAACGCCCGAGGGAGGAGAAACTGGCAGCGGGTGCGCCCAGGGGGCGCACGGCTGGTCCATGCAAGGAGCGCCGAGGACTGCCGGAACGGTGGTCGGTGGCGGCCAGCCACAGCCGCTCGATGCCGAGACGCGTTGTCTCCAGCCGCCACGGCGCCAACTAACTCCATCCTAAGCGGCTGGGACAGGCCGACCACTCGGAGACAGGGAGACGAGGGATCTCAGAGCAACACCCTGGGAAACACCTTGGCCCAACATGTTCCCCTACTCATCCGTCTTGCAGGAGGCCGGACGTAGTCTTGTTCTTCGCTTGGTTGCCATCTGTCCCCTGCCGTTCAGCCCCGCTCCTGCTTTCCGTCCCGTGCGAAGCAGCACCAGAGCAAGCACGGGGTGAGAAAGGGGGAGGGAGATGAATTAGGGGAGAGGGAAGAGGGAATAAGGATAATCGCGTGATGTATGATGGGAAGAAGGGAGCGAGAGAGAGAGAGAGAGAACAACAACAAAAAAAAACGGGAGGGGAGAGGAACGAAATGAAATCCGCCGACCCCAGAGGCGTGTGCGACGTTTTTTCCTTGACACTGCGCCACCCTTCCATAGCTGGTTGGGACCCCCCTTTCTGGCCTGAAACCCACCGATACCCCCCGCCGAATCCCCTTCATCGTTCCGGCACCCTCAGCCCCCCACCGCGTCCCGGACCTCGCCCCGGCACCCGCAGCTCAATGAGCTCTGTTCTTGAGACCCCCCACCCGACATTTTCTGGCTTGCGCCCCACCGATGCTCCCCACCGCGCCCCCCACCTCGCTCCAGCACCTCAGCTTCAGGAGCTCCGGTCTTCGCGCTTCTTGCTCGACATTTCGGGCCCGAAACCCACCGATGACCCCCCGCGTTGTCCCACCCCGCCCTGGCACCCCCAACATCCTGGACCCCCTGGCCATTCTTCAGGACCGCCCACCCTGCAAAATCCGTCCCGGGACTCCCCGCCGCGCCGCTCGCCGCGCCCGACACCGCCAGCATCTTAGGGGCCGCCCATCCTGCGAATTCTTTCCAGGGACCCCCACCGCGCTCCCTACCGCGCCCGACACCGCCAGCATCCTGGACCCCCTGGCCATGTGTGCTTCAGAACCACCCACCTTGCAACATCCGTCATGGGACCTCCTACCGCGCCCCCCACCGCGCCGTTACCGCCAGCATCCTGGACCCTTTGGCCAATGTTCTTAGGGACCGCCCACGCCGCAAAATCCGTCCTGGGACTTCCACCGCTGCTCCCGCCCCCCGTGCCCGACACCGCCAGCATCCTGGACCCCCTGGCCATGTGTTCTAAGGGAGCACCCGCCCTGCTAATTCTGTCCCAGACTCCGCCCCCCCCAAATCTCTGCTTGAGACCCCCCACCCAACAATTTCTCGCGCGGAACCGAGACTGACCCCCCACCAGATCTCCACCTCGCCCGACCCCTCCACCCCCCGGTAAGTTCTTTTTCTTGGGACCGCCTACCCGACAATGTCTCGCCTGGAACCGACCCTGACGCTCCACCAGATCTCCACCTCGCCTCGCCCGACCACCCCCCATCCCCTGGGGGCTCTGATCTTGGGACCCCCCACCCGGCAACTTCTCGCCCAGGAACGACTAAGACCCCCACCAGGTCTCCACCTCGTCCGACCCCCCCACACCCCTGGGAATTGCCTTTTTGGGACTCACCACCCGGAACCGACCCTAAACTCCCACCAGGTGCCCACCGTGCCCGACCCCCCCCACACCACCTGGGATGCTTTCATATACATATATGTAGATGTACAGAGAAAGAGAGAGACAGAGAGAGAGAGAAAGAGAGAGAGAGAGAGAGAAATAGAGAGAGAGAGAAAGAGAAAGAGAGAGAGAGAGAGAGCCACACACACACACATCTATTTAAACATATGGAAGCAGTCCCCCAACCGACACATGCTCGACCGGAACCGACCCTGACCCCCCCCACCACGTCAACCGATCCTGACCCTCC